CAGCAGCAGCAGCAGCAGCAGCAGCAGCAGCAGCAGCAGCAGCAGCAGCAGCAGCAGCAGCAGCAGCAGCAGCAGCAGCAGCGTCATCAGCAGCAGCAAACCTACTGCCTGTTGACTTCCTCTTCAAAAGGCCTAGCAGCAGCAGCACTAATTTGCTGCTGCAGCCGCCGCAGCACGCGGGCGCATGCAATGGCCTCAGCAGCACAACCAACAGCAAGGCCCTGCTGGATCTCTTTTGCTTCCTGCTGCAGCACTTTCTGTTCTCTGCGGGCAAGGCGCCTTGCTGCTGCTGCTGCTGCGTCTGCTGCTGCTGCTGCTGCTGCTGCTGCTGCAGAAGGCGAGCGGCTGTTGAGGGAGAAAAACGGCAAGGAGCATTCCGAGCCCGACGAAGCAGCAGCGGCTGCCGTTGGGGTTGTTGCTGCTGCTGGAGTTGCTGCTGCTGTTGCTGCCAGCGAGTCCGATTTGATGGGGCTGCTGCACCCGCTGCTGCTGCTGCTGTGCTGCTGCTGCTGCTCTCCTGCTGCGGACGTTGGGGTGTACAGACGCCCCGGAACAGCAGCAGGTCTTCAAAAGGCCTAGCAGCAGCAGCACTAATTTGCTGCTGCAGCCGCCGCAGCACGCGGGCGCATGCAATGGCCTCAGCAGCACAACCAACAGCAAGGCCCTGCTGGATCTCTTTTGCTTCCTGCTGCAGCACTTTCTGTTCTCTGCGGGCAAGGCGCCTTGCTGCTGCTGCTGCTGCGTCTGCTGCTGCTGCTGCTGCTGCTGCTGCTGCAGAAGGCGAGCGGCTGTTGAGGGAGAAAAACGGCAAGGAGCATTCCGAGCCCGACGAAGCAGCAGCGGCTGCCGTTGGGGTTGTTGCTGCTGCTGGAGTTGCTGCTGCTGTTGCTGCCAGCGAGTCCGATTTGATGGGGCTGCTGCACCCGCTGCTGCTGCTGCTGTGCTGCTGCTGCTGCTCTCCTGCTGCGGACGTTGGGGTGTACAGACGCCCCGGAACAGCAGCAGCAAGCAGCTGCAGGCTGCTGAGGCCTCCTCGAACTGAAGACAGCAGCCCTTGCCACCTGTTCCCTTGTTGCTGCTCTTCCTGCTGCTGCTGCTGCTGCTGCTGCTGCTGCTGCTCGCCCAGCTGCTGCCACTGCTGCTGCTGCTGCTGCTGTGACTTGAAAGGTGCAGCAAACCCGTGCGACAGCGCCTTGTCGCTCTGAGCCTCTTCGCTGCGCGGCGGAGGGCTCACAGGCTGGCCCATTTTGTTGCTGCTGCTGCTGCTGCTGCTGCTGTTTCTGTAGCTGTTGCTGCTGCTGCTGTGCCTGTTGCTGCTGCCGCGCGTCTGCCCGAGCAGCAGCTGGGGAGCTGCTGCAGCGCAGCGCGCAGCTGCTGCTTGCTGCAGAAACCGCTCAATTTGCATGCACAGCAGCAGCAGCAGCGTGCAGTCGTTTGTTGCAGCACATAAGATATCTAGAGGAGAAGCCCGCAGAAACACGCAAAGAGCAGTCCCTTGCTGCTGCTGCTGCTGCTGCTGCTGCTGCTGCTGCTGCTGCTGCTGCTGCGCTCCCTTTGGCAGTGGACCGAGCCGGTATGGGGCCCCAAGAAAGCAAAAGTTGCTCTGGGCCTTCGCAGCAGCAGCTGCTGCTGCAGCAGCGCCAGCTGCTGCTGCTGCATGTATAGGCCTGCTTTTTTGCCCTTCGCCAGGGCCCCCCACGAGGCTTGCTGCTTCTTCCCTCTCTGCTGCAGCAGCTGCTGTTGCTGCTGTTGCTGCTGCGTGCAGAGCCATGATGTTGCTCATCCCGTCACTGCTGCTGCTGCTGCTGCTGCTGCTGCTGCTGCTGAAGTTCACATCCAGGTGCAGCGCCCTGACTGAGCGTGCATGCAGCGCAGCAGCAGCAGCAGCATCAGCAATAGGGACACAAATAATGGGAATGCCCTTAAGAGGCGCTGTAGCTGTTGCTGCTGCAACTGCTGCTGCCTTGGTAGCCGTTGCTGCTGCTGCTGCTGCTGCTGCTGCTGCGCTGCTGAGCCCCTGCCCCTGCAGCGCCTTCACAGCACTCTGGAGGGCCCCCCTAAACACCTGCAGCAGCTGCAGCCACACAGCCCCAACGTGTGCTTCTGCTGCTTGCTGCAGCAGCGGCAGCAGCAGCTGCTGCAGCGCCTCAGCAATGCCTGTGGAGAGGCAAGACGCAGGTGCAGCAGCAACGGGGGCTGCTGCAGCAGCAGGCCCCAGCTGCTGCTGCTGCTGCCGCTGAGAGTACAGCTCTTCAGCTGCTTTTAGCCGCAGGCGGAGTGGCAGCTGCTGCCGCTGCAGCTGCTGCAGCAGCACCTGCAGGCTCTCCCTGCAGCAGCAGCAACAGCAGCAGCAGCAGCAGCAGCAGCATGCGATTTTTGAGGAAGCAACCACAGACAAAAGAGGAGACAGCAGCAAAAAGAAGCAAATACGGAAAAAGAAAAGGAAACAATGGAGCAGCAAAAAGGACCTTAGGAGCAGCAAAACGAGAGGGACACAGAGACAGCAGCAGCAGCAGCAAAGCCCAAAGGGAGGCAGCAGCAAAAAGGCTCTGCGGCCCACATGAGCTGCTGCTGCGCTGCAGCAGCAAAGCGGCAGCAAAGCCCCTGCAGCGAAACATCCAGCGAAGGATAAGCAGCACCATTCAGCAGCAGCAGCAGCCGCTGCTTCCCCAGCGCCGCCACCAGCTTCTGCAAAAGACACGCAGCAGCAGCAGCAGCAGCAGCAGCAGCAGCAGCTGGCTGTGGCTCCAGGTACCTAGCTAGCTAGCTCGCCAGCTAGCTAGCTGAGGAGCGACCAGCTGCCTAGCCAGCCAGCTAGCTCAGCAAATACTGACTAGCTAGCTAGCTAGCTAGACAGATAGCTAGCCAGATAGCTAGCCAGCTAGCTATATGGCTAGCTAGCCAGTTAGCGAGCTAGCTAGCTTTCTGGCTAGATAGCCAGCTAGCTAGCTAGCCAGTTAGCTAGCCGGCTAGCTAGCTAACTACTAGCCGTGCTAATGCAGCTAGCTGCGCTCAGCAGGTGCTGCCACAAAAAATGTCACGAACGGCAGCGAGGCGCAGCTGCTGTTGCTGCTGTTGCTGCTGCTGCTGCTGCTACTGCTGCTGCTGCTGCTGCTGCTGCTGCTGCTGCTGCTCACGTTCAGCGAGTCTCCACTTGGAGGCGTGGCGGCCGTGGCGAAGACGCCCGACACCAAACACAAGACCTGTGCAGCAGCAGCAGCAGCAGCAGTAACAGCAGCAGCAGCAGCAGCAGCAGCAGCAGCAGTAACAGCAGCAGCAGCAGCAGCTACAAATAGCAGGTGGGAATGAAGCAGCAGATAGACAGTGATAAGGGGGCAGCAGCAACTAAACCGAGCGACACCAAGTCAGGCAAAGCAGCAGCAGCAGCAGCAGCAGCAGCAGCAGCAGCAGATGGTGCAGCAGCTGCAACAGCCGCACTGGCAGCAGCAACAGCAGCGCGTACACCGCTGGGAGAAGCCCTTGCAGCAGCACAAACAGCAGCAGCAACACAAACAGCAGCAGCAACACAAACAGCAGCAGCAGCACAAACAGCAGCAGCAGCAGCACGAACAGCAGCAGCAGCAGCAGCAGCAGCAGCAAGGACAACTGTGGAACAGCGTACAGGAAAGAGCACCTCCTTGCAAAGAACAGCAACGTGCTGCTGCCTTCTGCTTCCTCCTTGCTGCAGCAGCAGCAGCAGCCTCTGCTTTTCATTTTTGATTTGCTGCAGCTGCTGCTCGCGCTGCCGCTGCTGCTGCTGCAGCAGCAGCAGAAGCTCTTCTACATGACACAACGCAGCTGCAGCAGCATCCTCCGGGACATCATTTCCACTTTTGCTGCTGCTGCTGCTGCTGCTGCTGCAGTCCAGTGCTGCACCCTCAGCTGCTTCCTGCAGCAGCAGCAGCTCCTTCTTCTTGCTGCGGCAAATCCACGAGAGTTCTGCTTCTGCTTCCCGCAGCTGCTGCAGCTGCAAGCACATCTGGTGCTGCTGCTGCTGCTGCTGCACCAGCTGCCCGCGCACAGCAGCAGCAGCAGCGTCAAGGAAACTCGCAGCAGCAGCTGCTGCTGCGTCTGCTCCAGCAGCAGCAGCAGCAGCAAATTCGTCGCCATCCCAAACCCACGGCGCGACTGGGAGAAGAATTGGACCTCTGTGAGCCCTGCTGCTGCTGCTGCTGCTGCTGCTGCTGCTGCTGCTGCTGCTGCTGTGATTATGAATGCTGCTGCGACCCTCTCGCTGCCTCAAACACTTTCCTTGCGTGCTGCTGCGCCTCGGATATCTGCAGCAGCTGCTGCCTTGCTGCCTGGTCTCTGCAGCAGCAGCACCGCTCGCAGCAGAAGCACCTGCAGCAGCAGCAGCAGCAGCAGCAGCAGCAGATGCAGCTGATGCTGCTGCTGCTTCTGGGGCCCTATCCCGCCACGCTGCATTCACAGGGGGCAGAAGGTCACTGCGCTCGTGCTTCTGCAGCAGCGGCTGCTGCTGCTGCTGCTGCTGCTGCATTTGCTGATGCTGCTGTTGCTGCCGTGTCTGTTGCTGCTGCTGAACTTCTTTTTGTTGCTTTTTCTGTTGCTGCTCTTGGCGCCCTTCATCGTGCTGCTGTTGCTGCCGCTGCTGCTGCTGCTGCTGCTGCTGCTGCTGTCCTGTAGTTTTGCTTGGAAGTATTCGGGGACTTTCGCGTTGCTGCTGCGGCTGCTGCTGCTGCTGCTGCTGCTGCTTGCGCATCCGTTCCTGTTGCTGTTGCTGCTGCTGCAGCTTCTGTCCCTGCTGCTGTTGCTGCTGCTGCTCTTCAGCTTCCTGCGGGGACGAAGCAGCAGCACCGACCGGAGTTGCTGCTGCTGTTGGAGCCGCTGGGCTCTGGGCCAACGGAAGCCGCTCTCCCTTGCTGCTGCTGCTGCTGCTGCTGCTGCTGCTGCTGCTGCTGCTGCTGCTGCTGCTGCTGCACTGGGGCACTCCTACAGGAGGCAGCACTTCTGCTGCCACAGCAGCACGAGAGCCAGAGTCTTTCCCTCTCCCTGCGCTGCTGCAGCGGGGCTTCGCAGCAGCAGCAGCAGCAGCCGGTGCAGCAGCAGCAGCAGCATTTGCAGCTGACCTGCTGCGGCAGTAACCTGGTTCGCCTGCTGTGGCAGCTCTGTGGTACGGCGGAAGCTGCTGCTGCTGCTGCTGCTGCTGCTGTTGCTGCTGCTGCGATTTTCCATTCAGCTGCTCCTCAAGCTGCTGCTCCTCCTGGCAAGGGAGCCCCTCCTGCTGCAGCTCTTGCCGCACACCATGCTTTGCTTGAAGATGCTGCTGCTGCTGCTGCTGCTGCTGCTGCAGCCACTGCTGCTGCTGCATGTTGCAGCGGCCTCGCCTGCGGCTGCGCTGGGGCATCGGCAGCCCTGGGATAGAAGCAGCAGCAGCAGCAGCAGCAGCAGCAGCAGCAGAAGGTGCTATTGCTGCAGCCAGGTACTTGCTGCAGCAGCAGAGGCGCCTGAGGGAGCAGCAGGGGCCCCCGAAGGGCCATTTCGTGCGCCGCCAGCTCCGCTGTCCTGCCTACTGCAGCAGCAGCAGCAGCAGCAGCAGCAGCAGCAGCAACAGCAGCAGCAGAGGGAACGGCGGGGGGTCCTGTGAGAGTCCTTCTTCCACCTGGAAAACTTGTTAAGGTCTCTGTCTCAGCCATGCAGCTGCT